ATTTGCTACTTTTAGAACGGCCCATGCTCATTTAACATGGATGATCGACGATCGTGTGTCCGGGGCGCCGGGCCAGTTTTGATTAGGCGCTACGGGTGCTACGGTTGAAAATTGGGGAAAAAATGAAATTCGACTTTTCAAAAAATCAAAATTCGTCATTTGAAAATTGAATTCGCCAGAGTGACGATTTGATGCCGTTTTTCTTCGTCACCATGGGTTCCGTTTTCGTCAATGACGAGAGTGACGAGCGGCAGCGGGAACCCTGGGACATTAATGACCCAATGACCTCTGAATACCTTATTGTCACAATAGGGAATGTCAGTAATAATGTCAGTAATGTATACTCTCCTGGAATTCCTGAAATTAAATGGCATGTTAATTTATCATTGCTGAGGTAAATGGCCAGCTTTTTGAGACATCTTTAAAGATAAAGTAATATTTGAAGTGGTTTACTTTGAAATGTAAGGTGTTACCTGGCTGTCTGTAGCATTGCTACTTGTAGTAATCTAATGGTCATTATAGGTGCTGCTGGGGTCATTTCCAAAATTTTGTGTCTTTACCGTAGGTCATTGGTAATGAGAGTTGTCAGGCTGTGTTGACATGTGGAGCTTGTGTGAAGATTGTGTTGCCCAGGTCCTTTGGCTTTGACAGATATAGTTGCGCAGCGGAGCTCACTGAGCCAATACGAATCAACATTGACATTACCCAGGGTGATATCGTGCCCTGCTGTCAAGGCAGAAGTTAGCCCCAAGTTCCCAGGAAAGCGAGCTTCGGGTCATGGGTCGATCCTCTTGACAGGAGCTTACGTGGGTCTTGATATTTGTGCTGAGAGTCTGATCCCCTTCGGGCCGAACCTGTCACTTTTGTTTTTTCCTGATTTACCAGTGGAGGAATTCTTGACTGCTAAGTCATAAAGGTTGAAAGGCAAACCACAAAGGGGAACTGTTTATATGTTGGTCTCCTTTCCCGGATGTATTTGAAGGGAACTCTGATAAGGTTAAGTGTGTTGTTCCCTCATGTTGACTCTTAACATAAAACTTGTCGGTCTGTGTGGCATTGGACCCGCAGGCCACAACTCTTCAGTTGGATTGGTTCTTGTTGGACAAACAGTCAAGTCATTTATATCACCAACCCAGCTCTTATGTTTGAATTTGCATTTTTTTTTTTTGATTAAGCCACAATGGGCCTGAGACCAAAAAGCCATTTTTTCCATCTGTTCCCGGGATAACAGGAAAGGAGTGACTTGCGACGAGGAATTTTTTTTGAACAGAAAACAGATGGTAAGAAATGTTCCACGGTTCTGTGTGCCTGAATACTCTGTCCCTCTTTTGACCCTCTCTGGCCATTTCAGAACAGTGGGCTCTTTATATCACCTTGCTGTGCTAATGTTTGGTGCGAGATTCACACATCTCTTCCGGCCAAAAGCTGAAAAAAATCACGACATGACATTTTTGGGAAAGTTTCTGTGCTGTTGTTTTGACTTGTTTCATACATGGATGCTCTTCAGATGCTCTGAACACGTTGGTCTGTTTATCTTGTGTGTAAAAAGAGGTTGTATCTTTCTTTAAGGTCATGGCACCTACCTTTATAAGTTCCCCCCCCCCTTCTTTTCAGGTCCATAACTTTTTGATATACAGAATGTCCTTTTTGGGAAGTTTCCAAATTGTGTTGAATGAGGTTTTTTAAACCCATGGCTGGTAATCATTGATTCTTTTAATCCACTGGTGACTGGTGGCTAAAATTTTTAGGAGGTAAGAAGATAAAATGTTTGACAATATTAGGAAAGTGAATTGTTCCAGTGAAGAGAGAAAATGTTTTAAATTACCAAAAAAACAAAAAAGTTTAGTAATGAGTTATTTCTGAATTACAAGTTTCATAGTTTAATCTAAAAAGCAGAGGATGCATTGCCTTCTCTGTCTCTATGGACCAGCTGCCTCTGCTTTAGTCTAAATCAGATTATTCACGTAACCAGTGAAGATGGGTAGTCCAGTCATTTGGCACCTTTTGATTCAAAGCCACTTTTTTGTCATCATTTGTTTTTTGAATATATATTTGATGTGTGTACGTGTCAGTGAGACAGAGAAATTCCATACACCAGGGATCTCAAATGCCACTCCCGAGGAACCCTATTCCTGCACATTTTTGGTTTCTCCTCATTTAACACACCTGATTCTGCTTCTCTGCTCATTGCCACCCATTTCTTCAGGTGAATCGGGTGTAGTGGGATAGGGAAAGACCTAAGCTATGCAGGGCTGCGGATCTCCAGGACTGGAGCTGGAGACCCCTAATATACATTATATGTAGGGATGCACCGAAATGAAAATTCTTGGCCGAAACCAAAACACCGAAAGAAATTATGCCAATAATTAGTACCATTGCATTTATGGCTATGACTGTGTACTAACCTTACTAAAATCAAGGCATTGCGATTGCATAAATTGATATTAAAGTTTCAAAGAATAAATCAGTTACAAATTATGAAAATATTTATTTAGCACATTGCAACAATGCACAGTATAAAATAAAATTCAAACTTAAATGTTTAACTTAACCGCACTCTCAAATCCAGCATGGCGATCGGGATGTTTGGATTTCAGGTGATAAATTAAACCCGACGTGGAGAAAGTCTTTGCAGACGCACCCCCTCTTGAAATTTCGGCATTACATGTTTTGCAAATCGCTATCCGTGGGTCTTTCTCAGATATATCGAAATACGTCCACACCGCAGACATGCTGCTTCAGAAAAGCACGTGCAGGCCCCGGTTTCTGTTTGCGTCATCACAACATACTGTGTCGGCCGTGTTTTTCGGTGATAAAAATCTTTCGGCCGAAAACCGAAAATGCACTTTTGGGCCATTTTCGGCCGAAAATTTTCGGTGCCCGAATATTCGGTGCATTCCTGATTTATATGAGCAAAAGTATTGGGACACCTGGCCATTACACCTACAGGAACTTTTATGTCATCCCATTCTAAATCCATAGGCTTCAATATGGAGTTGATTAATCCTTTTCAGCTATAAGAGCTGCCGCTCTTCTGGGAAGGCTTTCCTCAAGATTTTGGAGTATGTCTGTGTGTCTTTGCCCATTCATCCAGAAGAGCATTTGTGAGGTCAGGCACTGATGTTGGATGTGAAGCACTGGCTTGCAGTCTCCATTCTACTTCATCCCAAAGAAAGTGTTTGATGGGGTTGAGGTTAGGGCTCTGTGTGGGCCAGTCAAGTTCTTCTACACCAAATTAACCCAACCATGTCTTTATGAACCTTGTTTTGTGCACTGAGGCACAGTCATGCTGGCACAGAAAAGGGCCTTCCTCAAAGTGTCCCCACAAAGTTGGGAGCATAGAATTGTCCGAAACATCTTGGTATGCTGAAGCATTAAGAGTTCCCTTCACTGGAACTAAGGGGCCAAGCCCAACCAACCAACCCCATACCATTATCCCTCCTCCACCAGACTTTACAGATGGCACAATGCAGTCAGGCAGGTAACGTTCTCCTGGCATCCACCAAACCAAGACTCATACATCAAGTACCAATTCATTGAGCTCTTCAGAACAACCCATTCTTTCACAAATGTTTGTAAACCTGACTGCATGGCTAGGTGCTTGACTTTATACACCTGTGGCAGTGGGTCTGAATGAAACACCTGAATTCAGTGATTGAGAGTTGTGTCCCAATACTTTTGTCCATACCCTGAGCCTCTTGACTATATATTATGTAACCACTAGGTGGCAGCAAGTATCCAGGAGTGGTCGTTTATCCCTTCTTCTCTTCAGAAGGATATGAAGCTCGATTTATTTGAACCGTGACAGAGTAAATATAATTTCTAATATATATTACAAAAATGGCACATTAATTCTAGGGCTGTATAGTTTAAAAAGTGAAATGTCAAAACTTGATGCTTAAAGAAACGTATATCAATTGTTTTTGACGTTTTAAAAATTAGACGTGAAGTTTGTTTCATTCATTGGATTATTAAATTGAAATGTATTGCACAAGTCACCCAGTCACGGTTTTGTCATGGTCGTTGTTGAAAGCCTAGGCAGATTGATTTTTTTTTTTTGTGTGTGTATTTCAAAAGTATTTTTTTCTGATCTTACTGTCAACAATGCTGTGGTGATGTTATATTTTGACAGTAAATATCACCCCAGTGAATTAATGGCTAGCAAAGCTTATTTTATTTATTTTTCCTCTGTGTCTAATCCTCATTGTCCCATGAATTCTTCATGCTATGAAAAGTAGACTGATGAGATGCTGAAATTCTCACTGGGAATCATCTAATACTCTCAGCTACTGGCTGTGACCCACACAGCAGGAGCAAAACACAAACATTACAAATTTGTTAGTTTGGAAAATAGGATTTATTTCGTGCAGATTTCTAACTGTGAAGAACAGTCTATTAAATTATCTGGTTTGGGTAGGATGCTTAATCAAATTCTCTGAGCAGTTTATGTAAACCGTATTGAAAAAAGGTTTGCAGGAGACTGGAATTGTTCCCTTTCACACTCTTTTATATCCCTCTGTAGCCTTCAATTGCATTGTTTCCCTTTGATGTATTTTAAAATCACAAATGAAAATAAATGCATTTGAAATTTAAATGATTATTCTTAATGAAATTGCCATCTAGTAACTAATTGTTTTTGTAAGAATATTGCCTCTAAATAGTTGCACTAAATGACAGTAAAATGTTTTTCTTTTGGGGGTTTTGGGAGGGACTCTTACATCACAGTGCACTTTTACACAAAGGTCCATTTGCCAAGACCTGTGCTTTCTACACAACGGCAAAACACCCGTATAGCTTAATACACGCCTCTTAGGTTTAATAGTTATATTCTGTGAGGCACAGAGAAATCAAATTTATAATTATACTGTATATCAGCCTCATCTAAATAGAAATAGGAAAAAAAAGTATTTCTGTTAAAGTTACCGTAGCTGTTAAGCTGAATCTTTATTGTAATAAAGAACGTAAATGAAACGGAAATAAAATGAATGGGAGGAAACAACTGAAAAAGGGATGGAAAAGGGCGCCAGGTCGCAGTGGCAGAGCCCTGAGGTCGGGGTCTCTCCTCGTAGGGGGTGTGACTCTCTGCTTCAGTCCGGTTGGTTGTTGTCTCGTGTCTGCCACGTTTCTTGCTGTATCTCCCCCAGGTCTCCTGAGGTGTCTTTGTTTTGCTGATGGCTTCCTCTTTGTCATATGACATGTCACCTGTTCAGCTTGGTACCTCTTCAGAGAGGCCTCTCTCCACCAGTTACCCCCTCTCATCTGGGGAAGCGGTATCATTTAAAATGACAAACCTTTGGTGTCACGGTGGGTGACTGAGCTCTTTTGAGGCCAGTGTTGATATTTTATTTTTCCTGCAAGTTTTCTTGAAGATTTTATACAAAGTATTGCTCATGCTACTGTAAAATGTTTGTAGGTGATATACTGTATAATAAGGATACACTTAACTGTCATGCAAGTACACATTCGCCATATAAAGCAATACATGCAACAGTTTCAGTAGCAGCGGAAATGCATATTTTTTAAATTATTTTTACTGTGCATATTAACCTTTAAACGACGAAAGAAGTATGCTTGAGCTGTATAAATCTTAAAATGTGTGGTAATTTCTTCTCATAACAGTGGTAATGCACATAAAATAAAAACGGTTAAAACAGTTATGTTTTTCCTACAGTTATATGTATATAACATCGGTGAAAGAAGTTCACTTGTAATACTTTGTAATACTTGAATATAAATTTAAACAAATTACTCTTAGCTGCGGACTGAGCTGACAGTACTCTGTGTGCGTTTCTTTAAATGACGCTGCACCAATGAGCAATGGTCATTATTGTTGGTTAATATCTTGTCAGCATATAAACAAACCTCTTCCTGATGATCCCCTACGTGGCCTCCGGACCTGGGCTGATATCTTTCTGTCTGCCAGCAGCTATAAGTCCCAGTCCACTTTATGGTCTCTCTTGTTGTGTTGTGGGTGGGGGATGCTATGCGCAGGACTCGACTTGCTTCTAGTCAGCCGCTCTAAGCTACTGACTGAGTTTCTAGTTAAAGTCTCTGACAGATGTGTTCAATGGACTGTATCCAAAGAAGTAGAAATGTCACCTGTCCTCAGGGGGATGTACTGTCACCGTATCGGCTGGTAATGTTTCACTCCATATGCCATATTGCCTCCGGATGTAATCTAATCATGGACAAGCTGGTGCCTTACAGCCCCTGATGCCAAACTGACTTTATTTACTGCGTCTTCTCTCCGTCAGACTGAGCGCGTGCATGTAACTTTAAGACTCGGGGGTTTGTTGAAAATTTAAGCCGAGCACTTTAATCTGGATGGCCGTCCTCTCTGTTACAGACCGAAAGCTTGCAGCTTGTACGTCTGTCTTCATGTTTTCAGGCCCTGTTTCCCGACAGTGTAATGTCTCACAAAGCTCTGATTATCCGAGTCACGCGGGGCCAAAAGTGTCCATCTGTGTCCGTCATTAATGGTTTTGCTCCTGCAGATAGTTCTTGAGGGTGCTGTCTGCTTGCGTCGACACTGCCATTGTCTGGACTTTGCCGCTGAAGCTTTGCATAGAGAAGGCATCACCAGTTTTGCTGGTGCGTGAAGAATCCTTAGAGCATTAAAGGATAATTTACATCGCCCTCCGTATACACACTGTCACTGCGGAAGCTGTAGGAAGAAGTAGTTGGGAGTCAGGAATTAATACTGTGCCTGTATGTCAGTGTCTGAAATTAGCTGTCACCTATTAATTTAATGGTGTGGTCGTTTGGCACGCAGTCTTCCTGGGGGCTTCACTGTTGTACGGTTTAATCGCTGGTTTTGGAAAGCACATTTTTGAGGTTTCGGGATTCGTGTATCTTGCTACAGGGTGCTAAAAATGTATTGACATAAGAACATATCCTGTGTCCACCTATCCCATGAAAATGCTAACATGATAATCTCTCCCATACCCAGGTGGCTGGGACGCTTACTGCGGGTGGTATTCTGAGAATTACTCGTTTAGTTTTGCTATGAATTGGAGGACTGAGACAAGGGTCTCTACAGACTTTGTTGGGAAAATGTGTGTTCATATTTTCGTTCCCCATTTCAGGCTAAATGGAAGGGCCGGGACCTCTTCGACTTGGTGTGCCGGACGCTGGGCCTACGAGAGACTTGGTTTTTTGGGCTTCAGTACAACGTGAAGGACACTGTAGCCTGGCTTAAGATGGATAAGAGGGTGAGTCACCAAGGATTGGAGCTGAAAGCTCTCTACCTAAGCAAGGGCACCATCGGGGGAGGCTGCAAACTGTCAGGCTCATCTCTTTGGTCATAGATCATCTCGGCCTTCGCTCTTGCGCTTGGAGTGTATTATACATCTATGCCGGTGATTCTGCGGATGAGGTGTTCAGTGAGTTACTGCTTTGGTGGAAAGTGTAGTGTTCAGAGTTGAACCAACCCACTGGGGACACCGGGTACCCTGACCAATGTGAGACCGCTAGCTTGTGTACCGCTTCAACTCTGTGCCACTGTGAATCTCAAATTTATGATAACCTGTCTGGTTCGATACACAGTAGATGCAGGCCCCATAAGCCAAGCGAAAGCGTTCTATATTTAAATAAGACCACTGACGTCGCCAAGGGACGCCGGAAGCCTGAGGTGTGTGGTGTCTCTGCAGGTCTTGGACCATGACATTCCCAAGGAGGAGGGAGTCACCCTGAACTTCCTGGCCAAGTTCTTCCCAGAGAACGCGGAGGAGGAGCTGGTCCAGGACATCACCCAGCACCTCTTCTTCCTGCAGGTGAGCATGACATGGCCATCATCCAAGCATTTTGCGGTGCTTAGTCGTGCTTCTGTCTCATTGACGACCCCCTCTGCGAAAGAGTGATCCTTTGCCTTAAATTTAGTTTATCCTTCACGGACACTTGCCATAATGCGATTAGATAGTTTGCATTAGAGCATAAAGGAGGATTTCCATATTTAAGACGCCAGGTTCTTGAGATGTTTCTTTTTTGGTTTCGTCGTATAATAATTGAAACCAAACAACAGGTATTAAGTTTCAGTGCCTCTAACTCTCTAACACTGAACAGCTGACCCTGGAGTGGTCAAGCGTGGACCTAAATCTGAAAGCCAGGTCAGCACCAAAACACTAAGTTCAGTTTCCAGTCCCATTCTCTTGGGCCCAGCAGAAACACAGCTGTCTTTCAGTGGTTAAGGGTTTGTTTGCTTTACCGGTTGATCAGAAATGTGCCCCATTTACAGGAAGCAACAATCACAAATGGTTTGATGCTGGTATACCAGTCTATGGATGATGTCATCATTGTTTCTATCTCTGGGCTTCATGATACAGCTGTGGTTTGCAGTCTATGGTAATGTGGTTCTTTAAATGGTGACCGCAAACCGCTGTTATGCAGTTTTTCTAAACAAGTAGTTAATGGTATAGGGATGGGGAAAATCCATGTTGGTTACATATTTCACTGTGGTCCCATCTGCTGCAGGTGTGTGTGTTGATCTCCATGCGCTTTTTCATCCCAGCTGTCAATACTCACATCTAGTCCACACTGCTGGTGAGAGCATCATTTTGTTCCGTCAGCTACCGATCGCAAGTTGTGCTCGCAGGACCAGGTCCTGCCATGGCTTCCATGGTGCTCACCGAAGGTACCATGAATATCTGGTTCACACTCGCAGCAGCGCTGGTGCGGGTCCTTGCTTACCTGTGGACTGTGGCTTGTTCACGCCGGATTATTGTCAGCAGATTGTACCCTTGTGGAACATATTATTTATCAGCCCTGTTCCGGTGGCAAGTGAAAGATCAGTCAGTGACGGGTGTTTTTGAAGACATTGTCCAGATCTGCTGAGAGTTGTATGATGTCTTATTTTGTCCAGATCGATGTAATTTTTTGAAAATTGGAACATTGCTGGAGGAGAGGATGAAGAATACAAGAAATGTCTCCAATGTTCAGCTTTCCTACAATACCTCTAGCTAGCAAACTATGAGCCTTATAATGTCAGGATACCCCGGTTCACGACACTGATGTACTGTGACTTGGGAGAATTCCTCTGGCACAAGCTCTGCATTAAAAAACAAAATTGCTCATAAATATATCATTACTAGGTTTGTGAGTATGGATGCATTAAGGGACCTAGAGAACTGATTAAACTTTAAAAATGACTCCTCAGTGTTATTAAATGACTGGCTTGTACTCTGCCTCCAGCCTCATACGTGCTGCTTTTCTGCTCTGCATAAACTATAGACCCCAAGGTCTCAAAGTATGTTTGCAAACAGAATCCAAATGGGTGCATTTTTGCTAATTCCCATGCGACAGTGCTAATCGTTTTGTGGTGGAAAGTCTTTCTGCAGGTCATTGGCTTAGTGTTGTGATTGGGTAAGTCTGTCACACTGCCTGCTACCCGAGAGCTAGCTTTTGGTGGGGGGTGGATAATATCTGCCGCATTACAGCCTTTTGGCCACTTGCTGGAGAGTTTTTTTTTTGAGCTGTCATCCTGGAAAATAATGGAGTTAAAAGCTTGAGATGGCTTGAAAATAACAGCAAAGTTAATCTGGGGAACTGTGTCAGTAATGTGGTTATTCTAATAATTCTTAGTAGAAGTTGAAGACTTGATGAACCTAATAGATAAGAGACCCTGAGAAGCTAACGTGGACCTTGTGGCTCAGTCTGGTAGTTTCACACCATTTAGATTTTGGGTTTGATCCCTGTTCCCACGCTTGGCCTTCCCCCATAGATGTTTGCAGTGGGTAGATTAATTTTTCATGTTTGTATGAGCGTTTCCCTGCCTTTTGCCGGATGCTTCTTGAGATTGGCTCCAGGCTCACAAACAAAACAAAACAAAACACATGCTTTATTTACCATTTGCACAAGTACAGGTACATTGGACTGGTTCTCTATGCCGACCCCATCTTGCTCTCCATAGTTCGGGGGTCACTGCAAAGGGTCAGCTAAGGTGCAGCACCCCTGGAGCTGGGGCTTAAGGGCCTCGCTCAGGGGCCCACAAACATGGATGCTGGATAAGCAGTGATGGAGAACTGCACCCCAAGTGGGATTATCTGCAGTGCGGTTGGAGCTTCTCTGTTTGTCCACCCAGCTGTTTCACGCAGGAGCGTGAAATCCTCCATGCTGGAGTGATGGATCGCTAGGCCCGTTCACGCATGTGCGACATGTCTGTTCATGTCCAACTGTTAACTTAATATCTCTGGAATGGCCACAGTGCTGGGGGTGCATGTGGGGGTGTGCTGAACCCCCCCAAGGCATGTGCAATTTTAATTTACTAATTAATGGTGCATTGGTATCATTTATTCATTTCTTTTCAGTTTGACTGAGTCACAGGCTAACAGAACCTCTCTCGTCCCCCCCCCCCCCCCCCCCACGGGCTAACAGGACCTCTCCTGTCTCCCCCCCCCATGGGCTAACAGGACCTCTCTGCCCCCCCATCATAACCACAGATGCCACAGTGGCTGCAGAGCGAGCAACTTAGTCTAAACTCCACGCCTGTGTTTCTGGTCGCATTTCCGCGTGTCATAATGCGAGTGTCCTGCGAATTTGCATTTCGATTCTGCGAGAGCGTGAAGGACGCCCTGTGGTATTCTTTAATGCGGCGCCAAAAGGCACAAATGGAGCCCATTAACTTCGATTTCTACACAATATATCAGGCCTATTCAGCCTGCCGTTAATAAAATATGAGCCGTGGCAAACTTATCTACTGCCGTTTGTTCTTTGATTAATCTTCGCTCCAGAAGACGCAGGAGCTAAACCGTGAGTTATGGTGTTACAAGTTACGGTTACCATTAAAACCATCACTGTATTTTAGCTGCCATTTAAGCTTTTTATGTATGAATTTGTAGTTTTAACCTGTAGCTGAGCAAAAAGCTAATGCTAAAAAAGCTAATTAATAATATGCTATGCAGGGCACCTGGGCTAATGGAAGGTAGCCTTGTTAATTAAGCTCGCTCTGCTCAGAGGCCCAGACTGTCAAACTTGTATTGGAACTGGTTGCATAAGGAGCTGTTTATGGACGTCTTTTGTTCTTTATATATTAACAGATGACTGGCATTTTAAGGGAGCTCCTCATCAAATATAGATCCCTCCTTAATTCATAATTCAGAGACTTTTAACCGTAATTAGCGAATCATAACATCTATAGACGAAGCTTTTTTTTTTTCTTCTCCCTTGACAAGGAAATGAATATGAATATTTTCCAAGTGCAGAACGTTCTCCTCCCTGGAATTACATCCCATTAAGCGGCTGAGGGAGTCCTAACTTTCAAAGACGACCAAAATCCCAAGGCTATAGCTGAATGCGAGAACGGGATGTTATGCAGCTCGCAAGCACTGCTGTTTCAGCACGAAATATTTAAATGCTTTGTAAGGAGGAACTGAGGAGGCAGGACTTCTACAGGGAAGCGGTTTCTGGGTGTGAATGATTTGCACGTAAAAGGATAATCATGTCAGGTTGTTTTTTTTTGCTATTGTGCTTCTGTCTTGGTTGCAGTACCTGTAGGCTACTGCAAACACTTTGTGTGGTATTTCTTGAACAAGGATGCACCGACTGGTCACTGAATTGTCACTTTGTACAAAAGCATCAGTTAGATAAATAATGGTCTGTATGTTAGGTGCCCCTCGGTTTTCGCCCAGTGATCCCGCTTTCTGCAGTTGTGTGTTGCAGTGTTGCCATGATATCTGCTGGTACTGAGATGGGGGGGGGGAGCATTTTGGGGAGGTGTGATTGACAGGATTTCTCGCCGTATAACAAGGGAGCGACGCATGACTGTAAAGACCGCAGAGCCGTCTGTGTCTCCCGTACATGTGCGAGCGTGCAGCCCGGCGCTCGGGCTCCCAGTTACGGAGTGGTTCTGGCGAGCTGTTATGTTCAGTCTTGCCCCGTTAAATGGTTACAGGCAGCTGTGGAGGGTCGGCGTCATGCGGCCCGTGAGACTCCATCAGTCAGAACCTGCTTTGTTTGTCTGCCCCGCATACTGAAGCATACATCAGCTAGCTGAGTTATGGGGGACCTCTGGGGGCTTTTTTGAACTCATGTCAGCCAGCGTGCCTCTGTCCTCGCTTACTGTTCCTGTCATTTTGCTAAAGTTTTATACTCCAATGGCGCACATTTTGTATGGATGACAGATGGAGAGTAATAGGTCTGAAGTCTGGTTTGAGGAGGAAAGAGTCTGTCCTTTCACTGATACCCGCCCCCCCACCCGTTTTGTATTTCAGGTGATGAAGATGATCCTGGATGAAGACATCTACTGCCCCCCCGAAGCATCTGTCCTGCTGGCTTCCTATGCTGTTCAAGCAAAGGCACGTGGACATGTACCCCATTAACTGAACCCGACTGCCCGAGAATGCCAATTGATTTCCTCTTTAGCAATATGTCAGGTAGTCGGGGTTGTGGCTTGAAAGCCAGTGACTCTGCGGGAGCCTTAAAAATTTCCCACAGCTGAAGGCTGCTTTTGGCTGGCAGCCAGGTCCCCTCCGATTGGCTGATTGTTTCAAAGCGTCGATCGACCGTGCGACTCCTGGCTCACACCAGCTCTGAAATGCTTTAGGGCGTCGGGTGTGGGGGGTGGGGGGGGCTCTTTTGAATGCCCTGCAAATTGTTTGACTCTCAGTTCGCGATCGATAAGCTTGGGGAGATGCTGCAGGAAGGACAAAAAAAAAAAAAAAAACATGGTCAGTTCTTGGGAGTATTGTGATTTTGTTTATATCAGTTTCCATACCCAAAGAAATGGGCGAATCAGATGGTCGTCCTTTTCCGGTAATCCCTCTGCTGATTGGCTTGTTTGGTCGGGGGCTTCAGAGACACCCTGTATTCTGTTCCTCAGTAACGAATGAAGTCGGAGCCTCTGAACGGTCGATGGCGAGGTGGCATGATGGAGAGACACTAGGGAGAAAGGGGGAATGATGGAGGGATGTGAGAGGTTGAAGGATGTGTGTGTGTTGGGTTATTTTTTTTTGTCTTTGGGGGGAAAGGGTTGACGGGGAGCCTCAGACGACAGCTGTTCCGGAAGACTGAGCGAGGGCGTCTCGGTCCCTCCCGGCCGGGTGCGAGACGCAGCGAACGTGGTTCTGCGTAGCCCCCCCCCACCTGCCGGTTTACCCATATTATCAGCAGACGTTTTGTAATGAGGGGAAATGCAGTCTGTTATAAACTATAAGGCCAGCTGTGCCCTCTGTCCGCCGCTAGGCTCCATGTCGACTCCCGTGTCGCACTGCGCACATGCTTACCCTGAAACGGAGGGATGAGTGTCGGCGATCGGTGTAACCCGTGTGAATTTTAATTAACGTTAAGGCAAATCTCGCATTCCTGTGTAAAGACCTCTGAGAAACCGCGGCCAAGGTGAGTCTAACGGCTGCTGCACTTCGTTTCTTTTTTTTTTTTGCAGTACGGTGACTATGACCCTGGCCTTCACAAGCCAGGCTTTCTCGCTCAGGAACAGCTTCTGCCCAATAGGGTGAGTCTCCGTGGCCGGCGGCGGTCAGTCGGGGACACCCCAGCCGGACTGGGAATCCCGCCGTTCATGCAAGAGGCTGCCTGACCTGCGCTAACGCTAATAGCAGCCAGATGGTCCCTGAGTGCCCCTCCCTTTTATTTTCCACCCCCTCTGCAGGTATTAAATCTGTACCAGATGACTCCGGAGATGTGGGAAGAGAGAATAACTGCTTGTTACGCTGAACACAGAGGGAAGACCAGGTACGGCAGGCAGGGCGGGGGCCTGTTCTGTGACCGCCTTCAACACCCTCCCCCCCCACCCCCTCCCAGTACCCGGTACCCGAAGAGATCCTCAGAAAGCCCGGGAAGTGACTGAGCATCAGTAATCCTCTCCTGGGTCTAATCCCTGCCACACCATTAAGTTTAATGGAGCTTTTCAGGTGTAATTAATACGCAAAGAACTGGTGTATGTTAACAAGCCAAAACCAACGAGGGGAAATGGCTGGAGATTATGCCCAGGGAGTGATAAGCAAACACCCCCCTGTACAGTAAGACTGATCAAGGATGACCTGGAAGACCTACAGAATGTTTTTTCTTAAGACCTTCCACGCCAGAGGTAGAATTTTAACAGCCCCACCATTGGTTTGGGCCTGGAGACTTGAGGAGCAAAGTTCAGCTCATTAACGTCTCGTCTACTCTGAGTGCCTCCTAATGAACATGGACACACATCAGAGTCTGGTATCATGTAAACATGTAGCCATGTCAATTTAGCATTATTTTTGCCACCGATTGGTGAATGGTGCCATGAAACATTTCTGACACGGCGACATTGGTGTTAAAGACGAAGCACAATTGAGAAGCTGACTTTTGTTAGAGATTAGCGTGACGTAAGCCAAGCCATTAAGGATCAGAACTTGTGATAGAAAGGATGAAGGATGAGTTTTTTTGGGGGGAAGGGAGTGGGTATGTAAAATACATGGATAAAAGTTGGTTTACCTTGTTGACTGACAATTTCTCAGTTGCTCACTCCATCACAAATGGTGGAGTTTAAATCTGTGTCTGGCGTTCGGCACGTTGCTCGCTGAAGATGCAGTGGTGTTGAGCTCTTTATGAAAGTGGCCTTCTCCGTGGGGGTGTTTTCCAGACTAATTCTTTGCACAGAGACACTAGAGGCTAAGGAATGCTGCCTGAATTGGCGAGTTTGTATTACATCAATGGATTAGCAGCAGACAAGGCTTGTTTTGAAGCAGCGGGATTTGTGCACCGTTGAGTGTACTGCTTTTAGACCAATTGTCTGCTATGGTAGGTTTTGTATGTACATTTGAATTTAGCTTTTATTTGTTTTTGTGATGTATTTGGGATGAACATCACAGAATTATGGAAACAAGAGGTAGAACCTCATTTGCTGTAGGATAGATTTAGGGCTAAGTGTTTTTTTTTTTATTGTGATATTCATTCAGAGATGAGGCAGAGGTGGAGTACCTGAAGATAGCTCAGGACCTGGATATGTATGGAATCAGCTATTTTTTCATAAAGGTAAGACGTGTCTTGGTCCTCACATGGATTGCTGTCTCATTAGTGTCTTAATAGTGTAAGAAGCTGAAGTCCCGTGGCCTCCTGTGTCACAAATGGCATTTTCCATTAATGCATTGTTGGTCCATTAATCTCTGTCCAAGTTTGTCACTGCATTAAGTATGATTTATTTTAGTGGCATTAATTTTAGTCTCCTGAAAGTGAGAGTCAGAAATTTGCTCTGTCACTGTCAACTGCATGCAATCTCGAAAAATGTGAAACATGTTTAGATAACTTATTAATGTGATGTCAAGTGGGGAATTTAACACACCCCAGCACTGGCATGGAGTCACGGTGGGTGGTGGTATCATGCCCTGTGCCTTGTTTAAACCAATGAGAACCAGGACAGTAATCAAAAGAAATGATTGGCAGCCAAGTTAAACCAATCGGTGATTGTCCATGTACGGTAACCCCACCCACCGTGGGTTTTCAAAGCCTTGTTCCTTGCATTGCACACCCCGATAAAAGTCGAGATGTTCGATTGGCAATTACCCTATCCCCCCCCCCAACGGACTACCTGTGGCTCTACAGAACAAAAAGGGAACTAACCTGTTGCTTGGGGTCGATGCCCTGGGGTTGCACATATTTGACCCGGAGAACAAGCTGACGCCCAAGATCTCCTTTCCCTGGAACGAAATCCGCAATATTTCTTACTGCGATAAAGAGGTACGGTACTTCCCGCTCGGCCGCCATCGCCCCCACCCGTCTCCTCAGTAAAAAAAAAAAAAATGACCAAGGCATCTTCCTTTGCCCCCCCCCCCCCCCCCCCATCAGTTCACCATCAAGCCCCTGGACAAGAAGACGGACGTTTTCAAGTTCAACTCGTCAAAGCTGAGGGTAAACAAGCTGGTGAGTGAGTCTGGGACGGAGTCGACATTCTGATGGATGGTTGTGGGTTTAGTTTGTTTTTTTTTTCAAAGCATTTTTGGAATCCTCTTGGAATGTTTGGAAAGTTGGGTTGAACCTATTAAATTCATAGCTTTGTTTATGCTTCATTCTTGACACAAATTCATTTAATTTGAGCTATTTTGCGGGTTTTATGTAACTGATGAGGGGGAGTCCATTGAGTAAAATCTCACTTTGTTCTAGAGGGGTGGGTCAAGGGTTTGTAGCAGTGTTGGGGGTGTGGTCCGGTGGGGGGGGGGGCTTGGTCTCCCGCCCACCCTGTCTGTCCTGGCAGATCCTCCAGCTGTGCATCGGGAACCATGACCTGTTTATGAGGCGGCGTCGAGTGGACTCCCTGGAGGTGCAGCAGATGAAGACTCAGGCCCGTGAGGAGAAGGCCCGGAAGAGGGTGAGGGGGTCGTTTGGGGGGAGGCGGCGGCGCCTGGGTGTGTGAACGCGCTTCTCTGCGGGACCTGGCTGCCTGAGCCCCCCCTACATCACCCTCGCGTCTCGCCCCCCAGATGGACCGCCAGCGGCTGGTCAGGGAGAAGCACCTCCGCGAGGAGGCTGAGCGGGAGCGGGACGAGCTGGAGAGGAAGCTGCTGCAGATGCAGAGCGAGGCCCAGATGGCCAACGAAGCCCTGGTGAGACGTCAGAGGCCCGCCGGGTGTTCTGACCCGTGGGAAGGGTCCGCTGTGCTGGCCTGGTTCCATGGGACTCGGAGCTCCATTACAGACGTGTGTGTGCGGCTCCCGCCAGCAGGAGGCGCTACCGTGCGTGCCATGTGTACATCACAGCATTTTGTCTGACCCCCCCCCCACCCCACCCCCCCAGCTGCGCTCCGAGGAGACGGCCGACCTGCTGGCAGAGAAAGCCCAGATAGCTGAGGAGGAGGCCAAGCTGCTGGCCCAGAAGGCCGCCGAGGCCGAGCAGGAGATGCAGCGCATCAAGGTGACGGCCATCCGCAGCGAGGAGGAGAAGAGGCTCCTGGAGCAGAAGATGCTGGAGGCGGAGATCCTGGCGCTGAAGATGGCCGAGGAGTCGGAAAGGAGGTAGGATCGTAGGGTAGGACCACAGCAGAATGTTTAGATGAACATCACCACCAGCAGCACGGTGCCGCCAGGGTCTCCCGGTCATGTGATGCCCTCAGTCTGCATGCTGTAGGACCAAGGAGGCCGACCAGCTGAAGCAGGACCTGCAGGAGGCGAGAGAGTCTGAGCAGAGGGCCAAGAAGAAGCTTCTGGAGATCACCAGCCGGTCGGCCTACACGGTACGGCCCCCACTGAACGCCTCAGCCTGCTTTTATTCACTTTGAAATGATTATTATTTAAATCTGAGGACTAAGATCTCTAATCAGTTAATCTCATACTGGCCTGGAGGAACTGCATTAGTGATTCAGTAAACCGGCTCTGTAGCGCCAACTAGCATGAACTTCTCAAGTAACCGATTTGAAATCAAGTGACATTCTCCAGAAATATGAAAAGCTGGATTTATAAGGAGGTTTCCATAAAAATGAATGAATTATAAACGGTAAATATATACCAGATACAAATGGCCCAGTGCATTTAGCTGATTTAATTAAGGGGGTGTGCAAGGCGAAGTGCTGGACATTGAGATGTTAGACGAGAGGTCAGACGGCGGAATGTCTGCAGACCTTCGGGGGTCCTTTCTGAAAAGTGGCTCTCCATCTCTCCACAGCCGGCCCACCCCCCTTCCGGCGCCCTGCCACCAGACATCCCCGGGGGGGGCGTGAGCTCCGAGAACCTCTCCTTCGATTTCAAGGACACTGACATGAAGCGGCTGTCCATGGAGATCGAGAAGGAGAAGTGGGTGTCTGGGTGGCCGGGGGTCATGAGGTGGGGGTGTGACTGATGTTGACTGAAGAAATGCAGTTTAATTAAACTTCTGTGGTATGGAGTGACCATCAATAAAACTGTGAATTTGTTTAGTAGATTTTTGTTGATACTCCCATTAACACCCAAAGAGAGACCGAAGAGACTCGTACAGATATTCACTGTCACTGAATGAAAGGCAGTGCTGCCGTTTCTCATTTGACCATCTCCATTCTCACAGCCACTCGTGTTGCAGATCGCTTTTCTGTGACTCTGATGCATGGGTGCAGAACAGTCGCTCGCTGCAGCAGCTCTTGCAAAGAAAAAAACTAAACTTGTCGGTCTGTACATGCATGTGAATGGAACGAAAACAAACTTTCCAGTGTGACAAAGTGATGCATTTCTGTTAAAAAATATCTTGCATTTCCTGAAGGACTTGGAAAGAGAGAAAATGAAAAGAAAATACAGGATGCTGAATAGTGTCCATATTCATCTAAACTCAATCTTATTGTTTTTTTGAGTAATGTAACTGACTTTGAAAATAGTAGTGTACTGGGTCAGGGTAGAATGGAGGTCAGTGTTAGACAATGACCCTCACGCATGCAGGGTTGAGCGTCTGAATGCTGCCCCCTGCTGTTTGTGTGTGGAGTTTGCTCTGGCTGTTCTAGGTTCCACTTACCACCGGAGAATGCAGTGTTTTGCCCTGTGATGTAAAATCCATATCAGTTTATGCGCATTCCCGAAAATCTCTCCCACTTTCATTTAAAAAAACGCATGCCATCTCCTGCAGTTGTTCAAAATGGATGCTGAAGTAGTCAGCTGAGGCCATCAACTGTGGACGATATCCTTTTTTTACACAGTAATATAAAGTACCGCACCAAACGCTAGTCTTCGCCTTCGCGTAGGATTTCCAATCGGGTAATCAAAGGAAAATGGACAGTGCACGTAGGTATCCTATAAAAGCCAATACTGTGCAGGGTAGCCTAATGTACATTTTATGTAATATTAGTTTTATTAACACATTTAATTGTAAGCTGGTAAGGCTATGTGTGGGCATGGCAATATCAAACATTATTTGAGTTTACAGGTAGGCTACTACCATTTGTTTTGCTTATTATTAAGCTGTTATTAAGCAGCATTTACATTTGGCTATGCCTTTTCAACTGATGTCGTTTGTCACTGGTTTTTGTGGCAATAAACTTTTGTCTAATTTTTAATCTGACTGATTTTCATTCTGGTGTGGGTCGGGTGTCGGTATTTATAGCGAATCGGGTGCGGAATTTTAATTTTATTTCTGTCGGATAATTGTTCGGATACGGGTTTAAGTATGACGGGTACAGGCAGGTGCGGTTTGTCAAAATCAGACCCGTGCAGGTGCAACAATAATCATATAAACAATTTTCATATAAATCATATAAATAATCAATCAGATCTCTCCCGTTGGCCAAATTTATATCGTATACCGTTTAAACCGCCCAGAACTAGTATTATGCATAGTAATTCTGTGTTAGGACCTTACAGTTTTAGTTTTACATACCAACGGGGGGTTGCTGGGGCTGACTGATGTTATGGGTAAGTCACTCAAGTCGTTATGGGGACTTTGTTGTTGAATCTTTGATGAAAGTGCTGAACTTGACATCACTGTAATGATTTTCCATGGAATAACTGTTGTGGCTTCTCATGTGACTGAAGTGCAACAAAACAGTCAGCTAAAGCGCCATATTTAAAATTTATATCTAATCAGAGAGTCTGAGAAGTTGGGTTGCAGCATCGTTTGTGACTCCAAACCCCCCCACCACCTGACCACCCACTGTGGCTGTCCCTGCCCCTTTCTGATGTTTGTTGATGGAGCGGTCACCCTATATTTCCAGGGTGGAGTACATGGAGAAGAGCCGGCACCTCCAGGAGCAGCTCAATGAGCTCAAGACGGAAATTGAGTCACTGAAGCTGAAGGAGCGGGAGACGCCGCTGGACATCCTCCACAACGAGAACACGGAGCGGGGCAACAGCAAGCAGAGCAGCTTCAAGAAGGTGCCTTAGGGTGTACTCATGCTAGCCCATCCCTACCCTACTTGGGCATGTCTGACCCCCAAAGTCCAGGTCGTCTGAATAGTGTGATCGCTCTGTACTGTGCCCGGGTACAGTCCCCTTAAAGAGGCAGGCCTGGGCACAGTTACTCAGACTCTGGCATGGCATCTAGTGTGATTGCTAACTGTGCCAGAGTACGGAACACATGAACTGAACCCAGAAGGAATGGGTCGGGTAGGCTGTACAAATCACATCGTTTTTTTCTGGGGGGCTTTGACAATATCACCGCGGAAAGTGGTCATGCTCTTGAAATGAGATGACGGTGTTTCTGTGTCTCCCATGAATGCTTTGGCGTTGCCTGTGGATCCATTTATGTCCCGTAAAGCTAAACCGACGTCCGCTTTCATGGAGTGTGAAGGACTCCTCAGTGAGCTGGTTTCGTAATAGTTTCTCTGCTGGTTTCTGGGGTTCCCTGTGAGGGTGTGTGATTGCATTCTCACAAAACATCCTGCTGAATATGCAGCCTAGACAGTTTAAGGCTCAGGGCCAGATAAAACAAAACGGACTTTATGACTTGCAATGAACTTTGGGGGAAAATAATTCTGGTAGCTATATTTTTTTTGGCTTATTGATCAAATTTGATAATCTATCATATGATCAATATATAATACCAACTTTGGCCATTCCACATACTTGCTATGATCCAGTTTTAATTCAGTGCTCATCAGCTGGTCGATGAATCTGTGAACTTGCCAGGAATCGGAATTGGCATGTTCCTGAGCCTCTGCCCAAATCCTTCATCGGGATTTTTTTGGTTGCTGGTCCCTGGTCGCGGCATGTCATCAGTGCCCACTGTTCCCACTGTTCACGGACCATGGTTCATTCCTTGGAAGGGAACACAGTCGGAGTTGGGTTAAATTGGATCTTCAGAGCAGCTCAGGGAGCCGATGATAATTCAGGTCTGAAAGCTGTGGGCCCCGGACACACTCTCCTGGGCTACAGCCTCCGTGCTCTTTCCTTTTTTTAATGACTGTTCTTAACGAGCTTTTTGTGGCTGGGAAGCTGCAGCCGTAACCATAAGCACTGCGCCGACCCAGAAGGTGTCACGGTTCTGAAGCCGGGGTCAGACACCGGTCGTTGTGGTGATGAGTGACCCAGCACCTTTGACTGCGATCACAGTGCCTAAAGCACACTCTGCTCGCTAATGTTGCGGGGAAAGGAGGGAAATTGGCAGAAAGTGGATGACGGTATTGATTTCCTGGCCACAGATTTAATATAGAACTCTTATCTTTGCTGATATAATGCTAATATCCTAAATAATAGCTGAAAACCCAAAGTTCACTTTGTAATTAAACCAACACACATTAAAACACATTAAACGCACATTAAACACACATTTGTGGCAAGTTCCCACTGATATTCACTTTAATGATGGAGACAGAAATTGCATTAATGGTCAGAAATAGTTTTTTTTTTTTTTTTAATAAGTAAATGTGTCAATTTTAGGGGAGACAAGCGCGTAGGGGAGATGTTCATTATTTTTCTCAGATTTGTCACCAGAGAGGCAGGATCCATGACGCAAGCAGATGAATATTTCCGTACTTTCTGACTTAAATATCTTAAGTTGAGATAAGCATGACTTGATTTATTCAAACCAAGCAGAAATGAAAGCTGGGTGATTATCACACAGGAACCATCCCGCATCATCGCTTGCTTGTTTTTATGTATTGCTGACGATTGCAGAGGTTCCATCATAAACCCAGGTAATAGTCACATTGATGTGAAACGTGCCTGTTGGCTTTGCGCTAATGAGTCTAACTAGTGCAGTTCGCTAACGAGCTGAATGGATCGATTCAGAACGAGCTCATTCTTCTAGAGTAAATACGTCTCACTTCGCGGTGGAGTGGAGAATGATGGACAGGGCCAGTGCTCTTCTCCTACCCCTCTTTTGCACCTTTTCCTCCCCCTAGCCCAGAAGGGCCTAGCGGGGCTCGCAGTGAGCAGGCTACTCGGATTGGCGGTGCGTCCGCTTGGCCCTCGGGAAGATTAATAGCCTGCGCTGGAGTTCCCTGGTGCTTGAGCACCCCGACCCACTCCCGGCCACTGTTTGCCCAAGATAAATGACCCCCCCCTCCTAGCCACACCGCCGCCCCGGTCCCCTCAAGTGCATAGCAGCAGATGGCTCTTTCGTCCTCGTTACCCAGATGGCAAAAAACCCTCTTAAGGTCTTTAAGAAGGCCCACGGGTTGCGTGTACCTGCACGCTAATTTAAAATGAGAGCGTGTCCTGACTCCACAACGATGGTCAGGCACTCGCACGGGGAGCCTCTGACGAGCCATGCTCTGCCGCACGGAGACAGCGGGAAGACGTTACTTACGGGAGGGCAGTATGTGTGACTGCTCACGGTTATCAGAAAATTACATTCTTACCAGAGGGGGGTCTTCATGAAGAAGGTTATGGTGTTTCTTGCCCTTAAAGCTGAATTTCCTTAAAACCACTGCTTCAGCCTGAGTTCTGCAGTAGGCTGCCTGCATTGACATCGACAGTCTTAAACAATCGCTTGGTAATTTGCATGTGGCAGTGGGAAAGCTGCCTTTCCCTCCTGCTGGCCGGCTCCGTGGTTTCATGCAGACACTGGATCGATATCTGTTACCGGTGAACTTTCACTGTGGGTAGATCCTGCCGCAGGAACCTAAAGCTGCAGTAACCTGGGGTAAACAACCTGGTTTTAGCACAGTTCTCTCTGGGCCACTGTTCAAGTTGCCCTTTCTCTTGACTTTCTTCACAGCTGACCCTTCAGAGCACCAAATCCAGGGTGGCTTTCTTCGAGGAGCTCTAGACCCGACGGAAGGTGGAAGGAGGAGAAGGTCACCCGGAACTCCAGCCCAAATGAGCCCAGATGTGAAGCTTTAGAGAAGCTCCGCTTGACCGGAGCTTACAGGATGCAGATGAATTAACCCGGACTGGTGAAACCAACACTTATGCTCTGATCTGCGTTGGCAAAACATGTGATTGGTGTTTTTATTATTTTTTATTATTCTTAATAATTTGTTTCATTTTTATCTCTGTCCATGTGAAGGTTTACAAACGCTTTTAATGAGTCTTAAAATGGCTGAAGTGATCATTGTCAAAAGTTGTGGAGAAAAGAATCACATTAAACTTTGAAGGTTTCTTTGTATTATTCCATTTTGACAATGATTGTGTTTGATTTGGCATTATTTTGTTTCGGGAGTGAGATTTGTTTAAATCATAGTTAAAGGTAGAATGTCCCCCCCCCCTTGGACATGCAGATGGAGTTCTGGGTAAATTGTGGGCTGTTGAAGTGGAAGGTTTGCATCGCTTCTTGACAGACTGTTAAAGTACTGTAACCTGGATTCTCCCACTCTTCCCAGTTGGTAAAAGACATGAATTGATTGACCAGTGCTTGGCAGCAAAGGGGTATGGTGATTGCCTCCCCCCCCCCCCCCTTAAGGGAAGCCAGTTAAGGAACTGCTGTTTCTTGTTTGAGGGTTGAAGCACTCATTTGGGGGAGGGCAAGATTACCCACTTACTCCTTTCCCGGCGTCGGGTTTATAACTGGACCAAGCATCCGATAATCTGCAAAAAGAAAAGCCAGATTCTTTAATGATCTACACCGGTGTCGTCTGTAATCCGAGGGCCCTTGGTCACATGCCCTTTGTAGCTCCACCTGGTCTCATCCTGAAAATCCCTGATGAGGGAGTCGTCTCTTTCCTGTCTGGCAGGACTGCCATGCCTGTTATTCACCAGCATGTGTGGCTGATGGGCAGCTTTCTCTCTTGGTTTTGCCCTCCAGAGGAGCGATTTCTGCAGGACTGCCGGTGATGGTGGTGATAAGATGCAGAATGCAGGGGGAAAAAAGCGTATTAAGTGCATCTGTCAAAGCACCTATGATTCAGTGTATTCTGTATTCACCAGACTAAGTGTGTGAGTGTGTATATTCTGAATAATGGAAACCGTATGCCGGCTTGAAAGATTTCACACTCTTTCTCTGGCAAGACGACGACTCCTGTCGTCGTGAAACCATGCAGGGCTGGTTCATTTTTCCCTGGGTTTCTAATTACGGCTTTGCCTCAGTCCGCCATTCCCAAATCAGGCTGTCAGGGCGAAGATGACTGGGGGGTGACGTTCCTAGAGGATGGTGACATCCCTGCATACCAATTCCTGCTGCCCCCCCCCAGACATTTCTCTCTATTCCATTTCCGGCAATATGGCCCCTGTCTGAAGTGAGTGACACAACCGACCCCCCCATTCACAGAGGTATGGCTACCTGTAGCTGCACTAATGAAAGCGTCGCTATCCTTTGATGTCACGCCAATGGAATGATCTATAGCTTAATGAGATCCAGCTGCATTTAGGTGTGTCGGATCACTGGCATTATTTCTCCGAAAACTCTAGCCCTCTGTTGTTACACCGCATTAATCTCCTGTGTCGTTTTATTGTGCTGTCTGAGAGTAATTTCTGTCCCTTGCTCCATCCCACTACCCTTCATATATTTCTCTCTTGCTTGTGGAGAGGTGACCGCAGTCTACACATCCTGATGGGGCAGTGATACACTTCCCTATTCCGACTGTGTTCCCAGTAGGGTTTTAACGTTAACTAAAGCTATAAGAAAACATTTGTTAACTAAATAAGATGCCAAAATAAAATGAAAACTACAACTAAATATAAAGAAATATTACTTATAAAACTAACAGAAATAAAAATATGGCAAATACTTCACCATTTCTTTTTTTTAATACTATTTAGCTACAGTAATGATTTGTTTATCTTTAATTACCAATAATAATACTTGCCCATTTTGAGGACGTTAGTACATAATGCACACTGTGTTCATGCAGGATCCTCGAAAGATCAGACATAAAACAGATCTTCAACTTCCAGTCTGTGCCTAGAAATTAAATGACTAGTGCTTAAAGTGAAACTATATAAAAACTAAACAGAAGTCTATCTTTAAAATAAAATGTGATAAAATGACACTGAAAATGAGCTCGAATGGATTTCAAATGAAAATTGAAAATAAATATAAAAAATCAAAACTACAATAAGACATGTTCCCAACTTACGTGGCGCCCTCTGTTGGTAGGTATTGTGATACACCTGGCAGTTGCATTGCAGGGGGACCTATTTTTTTCCTCTTGTAACAATCTTTACAGTCTGGGGAAAAGACTAGGGGGGCTATGATGCCAATTAATTTGACCAAAGATTCTGTGTGAGAACATTTTTGTCTGTGAGTGGAGAGTTTTTACGTTTGTTCTGACCTTGAAAACCCAGTATGGGGACAGGAGATTGGTTGAAATACACAGGCCACTGGGAGCTCCTCATCCAGGGCGTGTCTGGGTGCTGATCTGCTCCCTGGGGCACCGCAGCCAGCGACATCACTAATGATGTTAGCTGTTAGCAGCAGTTACCATGCCACCCCAACACCTCACTTTGCTTAGGTTAGGGGATTACAGAGGGAATGTCAGGTCCTTTAATGTTTCTATAGCCCCCAGTCTGTGGGACCCTGTTGCCCCCCCCAGAATCGAAGGTGGTTTTACAGTGAGACGCAGAGCGTGAAATTGCATGCCCACACGTATCACAGTGAGCCGCGCTCATGTTATCTACTCAAGGTGAGAGTCTCAATATGTTGCCTCTTGCCTGCTTTGAGCTGATCTCCAGTCCAGAGTCGTCAGTTTGGGCTGTGAGCTTTCCAGTGTGAGATCTGTAAATTTTCTGGTTCTTCAAGCAGCCGGGAAACCGGGATGGTCATTTATTCTGGACCTTATCATCTCCTGGGCCAGCTTTGACTTGGAACACCATCTTCACGCTTGGTCTCCATGGCCTATTTTTCATGCCAAGCCTGGGCTGCAATTCCGTCAGCCTTTTCCAGCTCCATCCTTTGTTTTGTGTTGCTGTCTTTTATCTGAAACATTCTGCAAACTTTTGCCCAAGTATCAGTAGCCCATTTGGATAGGGGAACATCAGTTCTACCAAACCGAATCTCCTTCCTTAATTTATCTGCACATATTATGCCAATGAAAGCATTTGAACAGGGCAAGCTGACCTGAAGATGCTGAAAGAACATCATACCTGATTCCAGATAAACATAAACCTTAGTTTATGCCTTTATTTTAATTGGCAGTAGTGTAGTAGTGTTTTTGCTGACAGTTGCATATGTTGCTATGATGAAGCTTTGTGAAATATTGAAGTATATAGTTTCTCTTGGTCTTCAAAACTGGCCAGTCAGTTAAATGAGATGAGTGCCTCTTCAAATTTGTCCCTACTATTTTTTTTCCATAAGTTTACAGACTCAAGTTAAATTTGTCTCGTTTCACAGTGTCTGATAAAAGAATGACTTTTAGGAACTATACATAGTGTTTGATTGACTTAAATATGTATTTACAGAATTTAGAGGCTTTTCACCTGACAGTTACCCTGTGCAGTGCAGTCAGAAATGCATGTAAACATTTCCACGGAGTCCAGTGGTCTCACAGTATCAGTCTGAAGCATGTAGTTTAATTGTGAGAACTGGTGTTGCACTTTGCCCTTAGAGAATGTTCTGGGAAATTCTGCTTATAGTTTTGGCTTTTTCTGTCTTCTCCGTGGCAGATGTATCTTCATTAATTTGAATTTACTGTACATCATATACTCTGTGGATTGTAGATTTTACAACACTATTTAAAAAATTCAAACTGAAAGGACTTTTCCTGGTGCTCAGCCACACATCTGAATGGTTTCCGTCTGCTTAAATACTTAACTCGCATCTCCTAAGTAGGATTCTTAGGCAGGCATAAAAGAAGCTGTCCACAAACTGCACGGAATACCCTGAAGTTTGCTGTCCTAAGGCAGCAATAGCATTAATGATTTCCTGTCATTTCAGTATCATGGGACCTGTTTCATACTGATAATTATTTGTGGTTTTACAATCTGTTTTCTGCATAATCACTGGGCTGTTGTCGGGATTACTCTGTGTTTTGGGGGATGTTTTAATTTATTTTGACAAAACAAAGAGCTTCCTATTCAGCAAACAGAAAATTCCTCTTAGCTACGTGAAGCTTCAGCTTACAGCCTTACAGCCCCCTGTTAAGGTGGACAGACTTGAGAAATCAATCACTTCCTGTAAATCACTAACCTGTCAATCCAGCCAGCAGCACCCAAGGCAGGGGAAGGTCACTAATACATCTTTAATGTCAGGCTGCTTCCCTGAATACCGCTGACTGGGCCTTCACTTACCTGGTCTTAACTTATCCATAAGCAATAATTATTTAATTGTCCTAAATTGCCTGCATCTGTCTATTATTAATTAACAATGGTGGCAAGTATTGCAATACAGCATATGGTGAGCGTCAAAACGTAAATCTCTCCTATCACTATGATCCAGGGCTGCTTAAGGATCAAGGGCATAGATTTGACTTGGTTTCAACACCCACCTAAACAGAGGTGGACATTTCAGGTCCAGAAAGTAAAAATCCAGACCAGGATTTTGTTTCAACCATCCAGTTGAGTACTATGTGATCATGACTCTTTATGCTCAACTGATTGGTTAAAACAAAATCCTGGTCTGGATTTTTACTTTCTGGACCTGAAATGTCCACCTCTGCCCCTAAACACACATGAGACTCACAGCTTTGGTAGGGACAAGTCCCCACCCTGAATACCTAAAATCTAAATTCTTTCTTATAAAGAAATTCACTATTATAATATTTGAAATGCTCTACACATGTTTCTAAGCTTATCCTGGTTAATGCTGATTTTATTAATATTTTAAACAATTTAAGAAGAAAGATCATTAGATCCTTGTACATTTATGTCTGTACATTTTAGTTTTGCTTGCTTATGTTGGGTCCCTTTGGTAGAGAAGAGGCTTTGAGGCCTGCTGGTTGCCACGAGCTGTCAGTCACAGACTGGGTAACCAATGGGAAATGGAGCCAACTAGTCTGTGATTGACAGCTCACAATATCCCCACCCTCTGTGGTTTTCAAAAGATCATCATTTTCTTTGCAACACTTTAGTGCCACGCTGATTTAGAAGGAAATCCTGGCATGTTAGTACTTTTAAATGACCTCAAAAACAATGATTAATTCCATTACTTCAAGAAGACCTGAAAGTGATTTTGTGGGGAGGTAGTCATTAAATCTGCTTCTGCCATCGCAGAAGTCTGCTTCATAAAGGTGAACCACAGCTAG